AGGTGGGTAAAATGAGGACCCGGATTGTTATTGGGGGCAATATGCTGACTCTGTAAACCGCTTAGAGAGGGCTGAAAGCTCTATGAAGCGGTATATAAGTCTAACTGCTATGCTATGAAAGGGGCAGTAACACAACCCAGGACTGAGTCATAGAAAGATTTGGGACCCAGATTTCTTTTTTCTTGGCTATGGAAGAGTTGTTTTTTTTATTAAAAAAAAACCAAACAAACAAACTAACTAGATTTAAGCCTATATGAAGCCTGCAAATTTTACTTGTTTTGTGCCTTTAAACAAAAGGAATTCCTGGCTTGTTCAAAATAAGAAGCATCTAAGTGTTTGAGGGGAAAGTGAGTTGTGTTGTCCTGCTGTGAAGTGGCCTGTGTCACCTTAGGAGAAAGTGACTGAGATTGCATTGTAATTTCCTCTCGTTCTCTCTCTGTGTTGTGTGCGTCTATCCTTGGGGATTAGGAGCTATGATGATAAGGAAGATGAAAATATCCCAGATGCTAGATTTGTCATTCATGACAGGACAAGATTCCTTTCTTCCTAGCTTAAGACATGGATAGATTGTGCCAACAATCACATCTGCTGTATGAAAACCTGCCATTATTGGCACATTACCTTAGACCTGACACTTCTTCCAGCACTTTGATCCTTCCGAAACTCTAGATGTAAGACATGTTAGTTGGAAATAATGGGAGTTGTACTCCTGCCACATCTGGAAAGCTGTAGATTGGACAAGGCTGGTTTAAGAGAATGTGGAGAAAAGATTGTTAGAATATTGTATGATGCTATTGCACAAATGAAAGTGACCTGTATTTAAGCACCTTTTGTGTAATAATTACATTTTAAAGAAAAATGGGCATAAACCCTTGGAATCTATGACATTGCAAGGACTACACTAGATTTCCTGCTTAAAAGTACTACAAATCTCTTTAAGAACTCTTTCTTTTCGATAGGCCAAAAGCTCAGAGCAATTTCTGATTAGCCAAGTTTTAGATTTTAAAGGCAAGTTATACATGATAACACAATTATAAAATCTATAAATTACCTTTTTAAAATGAAACCTGGTTAGTCAGAAATCACTCAGTATTTCTGAATATTTTGATAATCCTATGCGAAACCGATAAAAATGTGCTGGTGCTAAGAATTCTTATTCAACTACAAATTAGCATAATTTATATAAATTTCATAGTGCCTCATTCTGGAATGTAGGCTAAGTAAAAGAAAAAGAAAAAAAAAGTGAAAAAGTCACGCTAATTTGCACTTCAAAAATATTTAAAAATTCATCGGCATCAAAAATAATTTTCAGTGGGTTTTCATAGAGATTAAACTAATGAGTTTGATTACAGATGAGATAACAATCTTGTCCAAGATTAGGAGACTAGAAGTCAGTGGCAAAACCATGCAGTTTCTCATTTCATTTTATTGTTCTGTTGTTAAGAAATGTGTGTGCACCCATTATAATTAATCCTAATAATTCCTATTGTCAGTGGAATTTGAAGCTGGTTTGTAAACTTCAATTAAGCGGAAAGTCAGATGATTGTCTGCAAGGGGTAACATCAAAGAAGCACCCTTCAGTTTTACACGTACAGTGAATTAAAAATATTCTTGTGAAATTAAAAAAATATGAAGAAAATGCATGAAAGCTCAGTGGCGTGTGGAAATGTGCTTGGGTTAGGAGGAATGGGGGCGGAAATCTATGGTTGTAGTTCTTTTTTAAGGGAAAGGAGAACCCACAGTGTTGCCAGGAGGGTAGGTCATAGTGCTATGTGATTTTCTGAAAGGTCTGTAAACTTTCTCCTCCCTCTCTCGTCCTGCTGCATTCTTGCCCTGTAGATCCAGACATCTAAGACTCAAGAAATGAATCTGATGCGAGAACAGGTGGCAGCATTGGGAGATGAGCTGCAGCAGCGTCAGAATGAGAAGGAGGCATTGGCTGCCCAGCGGGATGACTTCAACACACAATTGCAGGTGGGCAAAGGCATTAGGCCCATACAGGCCCTGTGGCCCAAGCATCCTGCTGCAGCTTACATGGCCCAGCCAGCTATTTGCATATTCTGTATTTCCTTCCTTCTATCACCCTTGAGCACAATATGCAAAATGCCCCAATTCTGAACCTTTATGGCACAGAGAAAAGAAGCAGTAAGAAGTTAAATATATATATAGCATGAGAGGACTGTTTTGCTACCTCTCATGCCCTTTTGCCTATGATTGCATTTTTTACACTCGCCTTCTGATTGTTTACTGATCTCTTTCTCCTACTCCTGTTAGTCTTCCAACTGCTACCTGACTTCTGGCCCCCCTTTGGGTGTGTTAGCAAAATTCTCCCCAATATCCCACATATTTTCATTTCAAATGACTGGTATTTTAATCCTGAACCTTATTTTAAATTTGTCAGTGTGAAAGGAGGCTGGGTAATTCACCCGACAAATTCCCAAGCTGAAAAAGTTTTCACTCTTACTTTCAAGGGCTTAGCCTAGGTGTAGAATTGAAGTGGGATGAAGTGTTTTATGTAGCTGGTTACTATCATCCTGTTGATAGTTCAGTAATATGGAATCAGGCTAGGGCTGCTTGGTGGGGGATCTTCTTTGTTTATTGGTGTGTCATTGTCTTCTGCCAGAGGCAGTGTACCACCTCTGACAAAACCCTGGTGCCGATAAAACTTAGAAGTGTCTTAGAAGATAGCATTTTTCATTATCTTCACCTTTTATTGTAGGAGTCACTCCGGGGCAATACTCGTCTTATGGAGCAAGTTCAAGAACTCAGGCAGGAAAAGGAGAGATTATTACAAGAGCTTGATGAAGTACGGAAGGTAAGCTAGTTATACATTGTGGCTCATTCAGACAACTTCAATCATGGCTTGATGCTTGTATATGAGCAGAAGAATTGCCATGCCATGGCCTGCTTCTTTCTCCCTTTCTGCATCGAGGTTTCTAAACTGATCCCATTTGTCTTCAAAGCACACTACCGTTTGGCAAAAAAAATCCCTTAAATCAGGATGTCAAGAAAGAGTTGATGAGTTTCTACTCTGAATGAACTATGATTCAGTATGAAGTTTATGAAATTAGAAGCAAAATAGAATAGAGGAAAGGACAAGGAGGAATGGGATAAGGGCATTGGAGGAAGAATAGTAGCTAAGGGAACATTGCAAGATGATAAAACGGTAAAAGTTCCCCTCGCACACATATGCTAGTCGTTCACGACTTTAGGGGATGGAGCTTATCTCCGTTTCAAAGCCGAAGCACTGTCCGAAGACATTCTCCATGGTCATGTGGCTGCCCTGGCTAAATGCTGAAGGCTCACAGAACACTTATTATCTTCCTACCAAAGGTGGTCCCTATTTTTCTACTTGCATTTTTTACCTGCTTTCAAACTGCTAGGTTGGCAGAGGCTGGGACAAGTAACGCCATTACCTGGCGCTAGGGATTCGAAGCGCTGAACTGCTAATCTTTCTGAGCGACAAGCTCAGCATCTTACCCACTGAGCTACCATGTCCCATGTCCCGAGGTGGCGTAGTGGTTAGGGTGCAGTACTGCAGGCCACTTCAGCTGACTGCTATCTGCAGTTCAGTGGTTCAAATCTCCCCG